TGTCTATCTAGTGCTGAATATCTATCTAGTGCTGAATATCTATCTAGTGCTGAATATCTATCTAGTATTGAATATCTATCTAGTGTTGAATGTCTATCTAGTGTTGAATATCTATCTAGTATTGAATATCTATCTAGTGTTGAATGTCTATCTAGTGTTGAATATCTATCTAGTGCTGAATATCTATCTAGTATTGAATATCTATCTAGTGTTGAATGTCTATCTAGTGTTGAATATCTATCTAGTGCTGAATATCTATCTAGTGCTGAATATCTATCTAGTGCTGAATATCTATCTAGTGCTGAATATCTATCTAGTGTTGAATATCTATCTAGTGTTGAATGTCTGTCTAGTGCTGAATATCTATCTAGTGTTGAATATCTGTCTAGTGCTGAATATTTATCTAGTGTTGAATATCTGTCTAGTATTGAATATCTATCTAGTATTGAATGTCTATCTAGTGTTGAATATCTATCTAGTGTTGAATATCTATCTAGTGTTGAATATCTATCTAGTGTTGAATATCTATCTAGTGTTGAATATCTATCTAGTGCTGAATATCTATCTAGTATTGAATATCTATCTAGTGCTGAATATCTATCTAGTATTGAATATCTATCTAGTGCTGAATATCTATCTAGTATTGAATATCTATCTAGTGTTGAATGTCTATCTAGTGTTGAATGTCTATCTAGTGTTGAATGTCTGTCTAGTGCTGAATATCTATCTAGTGCTGAATATCTATCTAGTGCTGAATATCTATCTAGTGTTGAATATCTATCTAGTGTTGAATGTCTATCTAGTGCTGAATATCTATCTAGTGTTGAATATCTGTCTAGTGCTGAATATCTATCTAGTGTTGAATGTCTGTCTAGTATTGAATATCTATCTAGTATTGAATGTCTATCTAGTGTTGAATATCTATCTAGTGTTGAATATCTATCTAGTGTTGAATATCTATCTAGTGTTGAATATCTATCTAGTGTTGAATATCTATCTAGTGCTGAATATCTATCTAGTATTGAATATCTATCTAGTGCTGAATATCTATCTAGTATTGAATATCTATCTAGTGTTGAATATCTATCTAGTGTTGAATATTCTATTAAAATCGTCTAT